CTTTATAGTCAGTGTGTTTACGGCCAGCAGTCAGATAAGTGGCTTTGGCGGGTTCAAGCCACGGGAGAGTTGAGGTTTGCTCATTCTATTGTTGCTTGGTTGTTGTGCAGTTGTTCTAGGCCCCCTCTCCCTTTTGGACACTCTTCAATGAATTCTCTTACATATCAAAAAAAAAAAAAAAAAAAGTCATATTAAGGAATGTAACTCTGTACAGACCTCAGGTTGAGATCACCTTTAGAATTCCACAACGCTATTCAATCCCGCAGTGAGCCATGACTATCAGCCATACACCAAGCTATAGAGCCGTCCTAAGTCTTGCTCCAAGCTCAAATAGTTAATGAGGTGCATCAAGATGCTTTCAGTCTTCAGCAAGGATTATCCATAGAGACGAGATCCTCTTAAGGATCTTCAATTCTTTGACAAGGCTTATCCATGTAGAGAACGTCCTGATGATGCTCTTCAAGCAACATTTGTCTCGTAAAAGAGGTCCTCGCCATGTGTCTTCAAACAATGCTTATATGAGAAGCAGGCTCTCATAACAAAGCTTATATAATGAGAAGCGGTTCTTGTCATGTAGAAGTGGAGGGTAAATATATACAGAGGAGGTCATCGCCAATACATGCCTGTTAATAAAGCTAGTCATTCAAAATTTTTGGGCCTCTAGAGAAGGCAGTGAGGGTAAAGGGAAAAATTGAACAGATAGAAAATAAAGATCCTTCTTCTGGTGACCATCTGATGGCTCCATTTTAGATTGTTTCTTATCAATATACATCTCAAGCTTACCTATTAAAAAAAAGGATCACCATCTAGAGGTAGAGGATACCTAGATCGAGGTCTACCTCTAGACATCCTTGAAACCACTCCTAAATGATGACTGAAGTCAAGTCATGATGGATAATTGCTATTTTGACCCTTCATAGTGGGGGGTGGTTCCGAATAAGAAATGTCACTGTTGTAATACCCCGATATTTTTAAAGGATTTATTAATTAGGATTAATTATTTTATTTTATTTTTCAATGATTTATTTTATTTTATTGAGTGCTAGATTAATTATCTTATTTTAATTAAGTTATATTTCGTGATTATGTATGATAATTGATTGTTTGTGTGGTTGATTATTGATTGAATTATTGGTGTGTTGATTTTATTGGTATTGTGTGACTTAGTTGTAAATTCTTGTTTGTTTATGTGCTTCATGTAATTAGTTATTTTAATTTCAGTATTTAATTAATTATCTTATTTATTTAAATTAATTGGATTGGGTTTAAGGAAAGTTTGACCAAAAGATGTGGTCTTGGGCTTGTATGAAACCTTATTGGGTTAATTAATGAAGGCCCGTGGTTATTTAATTATTTAAATGATCACTTTTGTATTAATTATAAATATATATATATATATATATATATATATATAATTAATTAATAATTGTTATGGAAAGATATATATATAGATATATATATTAATTGATATATATGTATATATGATTTAATTAACTAATGGGTTAATTATGGAAGGAATATATATTTATATATATATATATATGTAATATAATATATGTTTATGGATATAAATTATTTAAAGGTTATTATTTTAATTCATAATATTAGTTGGAATAGGATTTGGAATTTAAGGTATATAAAAATATACATAAGGCTTTAGGGTTAAAGATTTTACACGTTAGAAAAATAAAACAGACAGAGAGAGAGGAAGAAGAAGGGCTGACAAGGAGGAGGTCGGATCTGAAAAGAAGGACGTCGGAATTGGAAGAGATAATTAAAGCTTAAAGCGTCGGTTTCGTTTCAAAACTTTCAGGCGAGTTTTCTCTAACTTTCCTCTTAGAACTCATAAGGATTTCACCTTGAGTATCAAGGCTTTAATTAAATTTATTTGTTTAAAAATTATGGTTAGATCGGAATAATTAAAAAGTATAAACTATTATATTCGATTTTTAAATTATTGGATTTTAATTGATATATATAGGTGTTATATGTATATTTTAAAATCAATCTATAGGTGGATTTGTGACCCAAGAGAGTTAATTATGGTTTCTTTATTTTCTAGAATTGTTCTGTAATTTTTTGGAATTTTTCTGATATTTTTAGGAATTTATTAGGATTTATTTTCCTATTATTTGTTAGGAAAATAATTATATATATATATATATATAATTATATATATATATATATATACACTATTTATATATACTACGTAACTAGCGCATGTGGAGCTGCGGCACAATAAGGAATTGATCCAGCGCGGCACGGTGTAGGATAATAGTGTGTATACGCCAATTAGAGCCATTTGATTAATTAAACTTATGTGAATTGATATGGTGCATCGCGGCGCATAAAAGTTTGGTGCGCATGTGTATCTGGACCATAGAAGTGGTCTGGTCAACTATGGGATTATTTGGTGTATCGCAGACCATGAGAAGATGGTGCACTCGCTGATCTGGACCTTAGATCTATTATAGTTAATAGAAAATAATCCAGTGTGAGCGTGTTCATTTGCGCACTGATTTGTGGCCATTGGATGCGGCATAAAGGAAGTGATGGATTCAGTGTGGTGAGCTCACGGTAGCTGAAAGAGCTTAGCCAATACCAGCACACAAGGAGGCTTGAATCCAGCGCGTGCGAGTGCATAGTAGGCGCGTGGGCGCGCGTGGGAAACCACTGTTGGCCTATTTCGACACTAAAAATTAAAACGGTCATAACTTAGTCATCTTAAATCGAAATTGGGTCATTCTTGAGCTCAAATTTAAAGATTTTTCGTCCTCATTCCAATGATACCAATTTCATTATCAGATTCCCATCCTACTAGAAGATATTTACATTTTAGTGAGACGGTGTCGGAAAACTATTTAAACCGATATGGAGTATTTAGGGGAAACTATCTCTGACATATTAAGTAGCATTAATTTGTGTAATATAGTAAATTACTAATTGGTTATGGATGAATGATATATATATATATATATATATATATATATATATATTTATATTTATTTATTTATTTATTTATTTATATATTTGTATATATGGTTTATTTAATTTATGAGTTGTATGGATAGTTGTATATATATATATATAATTATTGATATATATGTATATGTGATCTGAAATAATTATGGATTATTAAGGAAGGATTATACACATATATATTATGAAATATATGTGTATATATGTGTAAATTAAGATATTTAGTGTTATTATTCTTACTTAGTATATATGGCTGGACTGGTTATTAAATTAATGATATGCGTATAATATGCATGAGATAGCTATGTATGATTTAGCGTATTGTTAATTTTAAAGTTAATTCATGGTTAAAGTGTAGGTATGGATGAATTGTCAAATGATTAAATATATTACCTAAATATTTATATGAATAGAATACATATATGGAAAGCATGGATGAATTGCTAATTAAATGTATGAATAAATATACCTGTGGAGGCATGATTGAATTGCCAACGTATAAATATACATATACGGAGGCATGATTGAATTGCCAATATATAAATAAAAATATTTGTAATGGCATGGTTGATTTGCCAAAACATAATTACATTGTTATGTGTTAGATGATTAAAATATCATCTATGGTTGTTGTATGTATGGATTGGATTAGGATTAGATATTCTTAAATGAGAATAGTTTAGTACTTACTGGTTAGTGTATTATTTTATATTAATAAAATAATATTGGGGAAGACATGGATGATTTGTCAAAACTTGGATTTTGGATATGTGATTTAAACAATTAAAAATCATTATCGGGTTGGGATTAAATAGAGTATTTCTTTTATTATAATTTATTGTTTAAATGATTAAACAACTTATTAGGATGGAATTCAGGTTAAAGGAGTTTATTTTTTTAAAAGAAATGGTGGATTGGTCTAGTTATGATTATTATTTTAATCATTATTTTATAGGTTTGGAAATTTAATAAATCTATTAGTGGATGTGATTAATGTAGTATATATAATTATTTATATATATGTATATCATGCTATATTAAAGTTAAATTCTTTATTAGGTTGGATTTTGATCAGAGATGATCTACTTATTGGTTTTCAGAGGTCTGGTAGAGAGAACTTACTCGTAGGGTTTAACCCACAATTTAGTTTTCAGGTTATTAGAAGTTCCAGTCTCGAGGTTGAGGATCTGCAGCTGGGAGACTATTATTCATCTATTCATCTTGTGTACTTTTAAGTAATATTGGATTATAGATAATGTTTTAAGGGGTCCTTGGGTTATGGGATTCCCGAGTTGTAATTGTTGGAGAGTTATTAATTAATGGAAATTATTATTTATTAGTTTTTCTTCAGCGTATTATTTATTCTTTTATTTCACTTTGTATTCTGTGCTTGATTAAATACTTTAATTGTTTTGATATCCCTTAATTTTGTGCGCGGACTTGATCAACCCGTGTTCCAAAATTAGGGGGTATCACAACTGTCGAGACAATTGGTGGTAAGTACAGATGCTAGTGGTAATGGATAGATGCCTAATACAGTAATACCCATAGTAGGAAATGTCACTCAATCTGAGTCATAACTGGTAAGTAAAGACGCTTCTGGTAATGGATGGGTGCCTAATACCCATGGTAGGAAATGTCACTCAAATTGACAGCTGGGGAGGTTAGTAGAATCATGCAAGTTTATGTTTCTTAACTCACAACTTTAGAATGACGCAAGAGTATTAGAAATTTAGAATTCTAAAAGGGCACTCGACAGTTTCAGATGGTTGATTTGATGTCAATGAAGGGGTTTTGAAAAGTTAAAACCCCAATGTTATTTTTCAAAACACAAACAATCCTGGTCCAAGTTGCAGAATTTCTCAGTTTTTACCTCTGCATCATGCTTCTTGTTATGCTAACCACTGGAAGAATAAGTTTAAATTACTCCAACCATATTTAAATTCACTATGAATAATAAAAGGCTAGCAATATTAACGGTTAAAGAAAGGAATAATATAACAGCAACTGATGAGACGAACCTCAATTTTGCATTCATGGTCTCACACCTTTTGCACAGCCAAGTTTTTTGCAGTTCATCCTATTGAATAGTTACATAGAAATTTAGTTTACAGGTCCCTAATAGTAGGAAAAGAACAACATAGAAAGTGAATTCAGCTGATACTGTTTCATTAATATCATTCTATATAATGCTCAAAGTACGTCAATAGAAATATAAAAAGAAGAAAAATGAGAGAATTGTGTAAAGGCTTGAATGATATATATAATATGTAAAGGTTTGAATGATATCTATCACTCATTCACAGCTCTAGTATTTATAGATAAAATAAGAGCAAATGCTCATATTACAAGAAAAGAAACTAAATCAAATCTCAATCAAATCTCTGCTAATATGGTAAGTCATTCCATAAATCATGGCTATCATATATGCTAACATATGCATAATTAAATCTATGCTAATGTGGTAAGTCATTCCATAAATAGTGGTTATCATATATGCTAACACTCCCCCCTCAAGTTGGTGCGTGGATATCTGAAACGCCCAACTTGGACAACGCATCTTCAAACACGGTCTTGCTAGCACCCTTCTTCAGAATCTACAAGTTGCAGAGTGCAAATCTGACTAGATTTAAAATATCGATCAACAAACCAAAAATGTCTCCTTGACCATAAACAATTAATAATGTCTCCTCATACCATAAACAATTAGTAATGTCTCCTCAGACCATGAACAACCAATCACGTCTCCTCAGACCATGAACAACCAACAATATGTCTCCTGAGACCGTAAATAATCAACAATATCTCCTCAGATCATTCCCCTTCACATGTTTAAAACATGTAGATGGAAGAATCAACAATGTCTCCTCAGACCATTTCGCTTCATACATACATATGTTTAAACAATGTAAAAGAAAGAATCAACAATGTCCCCTCAGATCAAAAAAAAAACAACTATGTCTCCTCAGACCATAAAAAAGAAACTACGTCTCCTCATACCGTTTCTCAATGCCAAACCCGTAATGCCCTCATTGAGGTGCCTACCCGACACCTCCCGGATGGCCATTAGACCATTCCCGAATGGGTGGTGCCGAACTCACAATGCCCTCATTGCAGTCGAACCACCCTAGCTCTGATACCAAGTAGAAATATAAAAAGAAGAAAAATGAGATAATTGTGTAAAAGCTTGAATGATATGTATAATATGTAAAGGCTTAAATGATATCTATCACTCATTCACAGCTCTAGTATTTATAGATAAAATAAGAACACATGCTCATGTTACAAGAAAAGAAACTAAATCAAATCTCTGCTAATATGGTAAGTCATACCATAAATCATGGCTATCATATATGCTAACATATGCATAATCAAATCTATGCTAATATGGTAAGTCATTCCATAAATTGTGGCTATCATATATGCTAACAACATCCTAATTGTTGAAAGAGAGAGAGAGAAACAAAAACAAAAAAAAAATATATGAAAACGTGTATATTATTAAGTAATACAGTAATATAATGGTGTTTAAAAAAGAGAAGCTACGGGAGTAGGTGAGTGGAGAACAAGTAAACCCTCTACATGGTAATTCTATATATGGTAATGAGGGGTAAGTGACAACTCATACAATACTAACTGTACACGTGTGACAACTCATACAATACTGTACAACGTGACAACTCATACAATACTGTACAACATTCCCCCTCAAACTGGAGAGTAAATGCCAATAACTCACACCTTGCTACATATGGAATCAATATAGTTCTTGGGAAGCGCCTTAGTGAAGATGTCAGCCAGCTGTCTACCAGAAGGAACAAAAGGTGTAACAATCTCATTTGAGTCAACTTTAGATCAGATGAAATGGCAATCTACTTCAATGTATTTAGTCCTCTCATGGTAAACTGGATTGCTAGCAATATGAATAGCTGCTTGATTGTCACAATGGAGAGGAATTGGGTACTGGACTGAAATCCCAAGTTCCTGTAAAAGAGTTTTCAACCAAGTAAGTTCACAAGCAGTGCATGCCATGGCACGATACTCTGCTTCAGCCTTGGAACAATCCACAACTAACTGTTTCCTACTCATCCAAGTTACTAAATTTCCTCCTATGAAGATGCAGTAAACCGTGGTGGACCGTCGATCAGAAGGAGAACTGACCCAATTTGCATTTGTGTATCCCTCAATCCGAAGATGTCCAGATGATCGATAAAGCAGACCATGTCCCGGAGCACCCTTAAGATACTTCAAGATGCGTACAACTGCCTTCATATGAGGTACCCAAGGACTAGTCATGAACTGGCTCACAACACTGACTGCATAGGAGATGTTTGAACGAGTGATTGTGAAGTATATAAGTTTACCTACAAGTCCGATAAATCTTTGGATCATCGAGTTGGTCACCATCATCCACCTTAAGTTTTACATTAGTCTTCATGGGTGTAGCTACAGGTTTCGAACCAAGATATCTAGTATCCTATAAGAGATCAAGAGTATACTTCCGCTAAGAAAGACTAATGCCTTACTTCGACCGAGCCACCTCAATTCCTAGAAAATACGAAGTTTGCCCAAATCCTTAGTAAGGAAACTAGAACTCAAGTGATGAATTGGAACTTATATCCCATCTTTGTCACTGCCGATGATAACGATACCATCTACATACACCATAAGATCACAATACCACGTTTCGTTTTCTTAAAAAAGAAAGAGTGGTCAACCTGGCTTCTGGTCATACCATGAACTACCACTTCTTTACTGAACTTATAAACCATACATGAGGGGACTGTTTGAGGCCATAAATAAACTTCTTGAGATGACACACACACTCCCCCTTATACTCAAACCCAGGTGGTTGAGTCATATAGACTGTCTCAATAAGTTCACCATGCAGAAAGGCATTTTTAACATCAAGTTGATGAAGTGACAGTCTAGATTAGCTGCAAGAGAGATTATCACACGAACAAAATTCAGTTTGGCCACAGGAGAGAACGTCCCAGTATAATCAAGGCCATAAGTCTGAGTGTAGCCTTTAGTAACAAGTCGAGCTTTGAGACGGTCAACAGTACCATCAGGGTTCTGTTTAACAGTAAAAACCCAACAACAACCAACAACCAACAACCTGAGTATCAGCAGCCTTAGGAACAAGGTCCCAAGTATGATTCAATTTTAAAGCATTTAGTTCTTCCATAGCTTTCCTCCACCCTTGATGAGAAAGTGTCTCCTTGTAGGACTTAGGAAGAGCGATAGAGGATAATGACAAAGAAAAAGCTTGAAAGGAGGAGGACAATTTATTATACGATACAAAATTGGAGATAGGGTGACTGGTGCAAGACCGTTTACTTTTCCGAACAATAATAGGTTAATCAAGATCAGAGTCCACAGAGATGGAAGAATCTCCAGGCGTTGAAGCGACTGGTGGAAGTGGCAAGGCTGGGTTTACTACTTCAATCGTTGGAACATGATTAACTACTCTTTTTCGGCAACAAGCATAGACACGAAGAGCTGGTGGGATGTCAGAATCAAAAACTAGAGTTGGAAGAACAGACTCTTGAAGAACAGAGTTCTCCAGACGACTGCCTTCCTGGGAATAATAAGGAACATCCTCAAAGAAAGTTACATCTGCACACACAAATTGTTTACGAAGAGTTGGACTGTAACATTTATATCCCTTTTAAGTGCGAGAATTGTTAGAATATATATATATATATATATATATGTTGGGCCAATTTGTAATTTACTTATAGTTTGTGGCCTTAGTATAATTAGGCCTTTCTTACATTTTTATATAACCCCTATTTTGTTTAGGGATTAAGGTAATGAGAATTGTGCAGCCTCCATCAGTTTCTCTCTATGCTTCTAAATTCTACATGGTATCAGAGCAACGGTCCAATTAGTGTCGTTGTCACCGCGAGCTGCATAATTGATTGCTAGGGTGTGTATTAGCTTCATGTGCACTAGCTTCGAGCTGTCGCAAGTTTCATAATCAGTTGCTTATTTTTGGTTGATTGTCATTGTTGTGTTCATCACTTGGAGGAGATTACAGAGGGTTCATCATGCCAAGATCGTTGCAGAGGTTGGTATACATCATCACGAAACAGCCCAACTTCATCGTCGTTTCTCTGGTTGTGTCGCGATTCTTTTTGGACATCGCGAAGATCCTAATTTTGTGATCGAAGAAACTGGTCGGTGGAATTGCATAGAGCTTCTTCATCGCGAACCATTTCTTCTGTTGTTATCGGAAGTTGCAGTCACTATTGCCGGAAGTTGCAGAGACAGACTTGTTGGTTGGTTTCTGTTGGCCAGTGCTTGCGTTCTCCGGTCGACATCTCATCGCCGATGATTGTGAAGGAAGGAGGGTGTTTGGCTAATGGGTTTGGGTGTCCCAACCCGTCATCGTCATCATCCCTAAGATTGGTATCTCCATTGTCGTCGTTGTCTGGAATTGTGAAGAAGAAGAGGGGTGTTTGGCTACATGACTATGGTAGCCCAAACTAGTTTTGTTGGAACTCAGTTTTGTAGTGACCTAGTTCAGTTTCAACCCGGTTTGTAGACCTGACCCTATTTTGAGATACGGTTCGTATATTGAGACCCGACCCGTTTTGGATCCACAGACCCAGTTCAACTTAGAATTCCCCCCCCCCCCTCTTTAGTGGTGCCAGAAAAGAACAGAACAGAAAAAACATACTGTTTTTTATGGTTCTGCATTCTCCAATTCTAGCCAAAAAAAATATTCGAGTTTGTTATTTTGGTTATTCAGCTCCAGGTTTAGGAGCTAGAACAGATTTTAGGTTGTTTCTCTTCTGCCTCTTCCATTTTTTTACTACAATGTCAGCATCTGTTAGTACTGATAGTGTCAGAATATCCCAAGCCAAGTTCAATGCCTTAGTCAATTCGGCACAACAAAAATCTGTTGATGGTGTTGTCAACTTTGCCCAAACAGGTAACATTGCATGTTTTTCAGACTTCTAGTCTTCCTCTTCCTCTTGGGTTCTTGACTCTGGGCATCTACCCATTTAACGGGCAATGAATCTCTATTTTTTGAATTACACAATTTTTGTTACTTTAGCTGACGGCAGGACT